GGAAAATTAATGATGAAAATGTAGAACAAGTTAAGTAGCTTGTTATTAGCTCTGAGGGGGGAAGAGGGAAGATCTGTACTTCCTGGCCATGAGAAGACAGTATGCTGCTAGACGGAGTAAGCTTTGACACTGTCTCTATCATCGATTAGGAACAGAAACGAAGAGGGGGCTACAACATTTATTTTGTACATTATTCAAAGATTTGACCAGAGTAGAAAATGACTCCTTCACACTGGGACTAAAATAAATGGTTTAACAGAATCACTGACTTGTTCAACTGCATACAACACTTGATGAGTAGCTACTAAGAGCCAAGCAAAATCCTGGCTGGGAACGGAAGGAGAATGGATGGAGCAATAAAAAGGTTGACTCCTTCCTTCTGAGACTTTGGGATTTAGTAGAACACACATAGCCGGGAGACAGGAGAACACTGGCAGAGAAACGCAGGGCCAGACGAAATTAAAAAATAAAATGTGTAATCTGATTCCTTATAGGAATGCTGAACAGAGGTGGATAAAAAGGAAAGAGTTAATCAGAGGAGCCAGAGATTCTGAAGAGCACAGTTTTAAGCCTTATACAGAGAAGGTGGGCGACTGACTACCAGATGGCGCTTCGTGAAGAGAGAAGACCTACGTGAGCCAATGGGCATGAGCTCATCTCGAACACCTCGGTCAGAGGTTATGAGTGACGGGTTAGATGAGAGGCAAGAGGGCGGGCACCCAGGGAAAAGTGCTGACTGCCTTCTGAGGTGACCCTACATCGGTTAAGACAACATAAAGAAGCCATTAGAAAAGTCAGACTTGGGGATGAAGAGCCTTTCTAGGAGAGAAGTATAAGAACTCAGAGAAAGAATTCACATGTGGGGGCATGTGGCATAGGGGGAAGGGTAGTCAAAAATAAACCAAGTAACGAACTGAAATCACATATGCCGGAAAGGAACAGTGATGAAGTCTGAAAGGAGGAAGGAAAAGGCAATTAACTGAGGAAGAAGACACTGCAGGGCACGCAGGGCTGTCTCCATTCCATGTATTAGAGTGAGGGGAGGGCATTTCAAATCCCTGGGTCCTTCCAGGAAGCCTGATGCATCACTAATGTGCTCTGCTACAGAGCTGTCCCAGTCACCGCTAGAAGGGAGGATGTCAATGACGGTCACTGCCAGATTGGGCCCTTTTTCAGGCAGCACAAATTAGCCGGAATCCAGCAGGCACAGACAGACTCCAAGCCACCGTGCTATAAGCCGACATGACGCCAAACACAATCAGAAATGCTTTAACCATCTCACATATAATGAGGCGGGCCCAAATTTACAAGGCTGAGTTTCAAGAAAATGAATCAAGAAGGTGATAAAGATATTTTATCATTGCTCTGCTTTCAGCTGATTTTTTTACTGTAGATATTTAAAATATTCACATTTTTAATTTTAGAGGGCTGCATTTTTCCAGTTTCAAATCAATTAGCTCACTGAGATATTCATAGTCCTTGACGGTTTTCATGTTCATCTTATTAAAGATCTCAAAAAATACGCACAGTATTTTTACAGGCCTCCTCCCTAAAGCCTTGTTAAATGTGAGATTAGCCACTGAGCCTCATCCTGAGAGTTGAGGGTCAGCTTCCAGACCTCAGGTGCCACATTCTGACTGCCCTGACGAGACAATGGGCTGGTGAACAACTGGACCTTCTGGGCTTCTTCAGAGCGCTCAGGCGGACTATTTCTTGAATCTGGTGGAAGTTTGAGTTTTTGTAAGAAGACAAGTTTGACTGTTGATAATGGTTTCGCTGGAACAACAACGCACCTGAATTCACTTAAAGCACGGCATTTGATCACATCAAATTGTGTTCGTGCAGGAGGTGTGTTGAGAGACCGAGTGTGAGGATGGAACACTCGATCTTCCCTCACAAGTGCAATGTGGGTGTTCAGAAGGACCAGCGACTGGCAGTGGTCTTGGCCAGCGTCACCCTCGACTCTGACCGTTGTGTAGAGCCATAACTGAACCTCTGACAGAGAGGGAACGTCGACTTCCATATTTCCATGAAGAAAGTAAATCATGTCAACCAAGGTATTCTGGAATTTGGATGACAACCGAACTCCGTTTGCCAAAACTACATCAGGGATTTCGGCTTTCCAATCAAGAGAAAGCTGGACTAGATCTTGTTGGAGCAGAGGATGATTAGTGTAGGCAGCAGCATCAGACTCAGGCATCAGGACACACAGGAGGTCGTGGCATATCTGTTGACAGAGGTTTTTGTTGTAACTAAACACGGTAAGCAGGAGACTCTCTGCAGAGCCCAGGAATCGAAGGCTCTGTCCGCCAAAGCTGATTTGTATCTCCTGTAGTCCAGAGAGAGGGAGAGTATGAAAAATGCCCAAGGAGCCTGGACGGTTATCTGACAGAACCAAAGCATATAAAGCTGAACGAAGCAGGAGCAAACACGCCGGCTGGGGGTCAGGCTCTGTGCAGTTAGCAACAGCAAGCCAGTAAACGCCTTTGATTTCATTCATGTCACCCAAAAGTTCTGGTAGGGGACAAGCCACGCACTCAAGAAGGTCTTTTAAAGGGCACTCTTGGAGTTCCAGCATGTGGTCTGGGAACTGCACAAGAGTCTGCTTAAACGCAGAGCTCCCTCTATCTTTGTACTCCAGGCGGAAAACCGAGCTGGGCGAGGAAGCTGGTAACTCGGTGGCTGTGGAGGCAGCAGTAAGGCCTGGTGCTCTGTAAGGCACGATGCTCTTTGCTGGCCTAACGGCCCCGGCCTCTTCGCTGCTGATGCCAACCTGAGCTTCCTGGGGAAGAAAATGAGATTCTGATGACACCGTGTGTGACTTCAAGGGTATGTCCAGGGGCAAGTGTTTCAGAAATGGCATTCTTCTGACAAATGTTGTCATATGGGAGGTGATCCCACTGGGGTCACACAGGCTCCCCACATGCCTGGCTTGGCTGATCACCTTTGTGCCAGCCTGTAGCAGGTGACTGCTGGTATCTTTATAAAGGTCTGAGAACCTGTGGTAAAAATATCCCAATCCTCTGTTTCTTTCTGTCCTGATACTACTCAGTGACTCTGGAGAGCTAACTTTTGTAGCAGCTAACTCTTTCTCAGCTTGCTGCTCCTTACAAAACTTCGATGCTGGTGCACTCTGAGGAACACTGTCAGATACACTCTCCTTGCTAGAAACACTTCCAGAGAGAACAAAGCAGAGTAACTCGCTTTGCCTGGTCTGCTTGCTTTCACTATTTATAGACACCTCTTGGGACGTATGTTGCAGCAAAGTCCAGCCAGACTCAATGCCCAAACTGTGTTCATCTTTATGAGTCATCAGCTCACTGAAGTTTTCTGACTTACCCTGCAAATGTTCTGCATCACTGGTGTTGCCTTCGCTAAGAAAAGAGATTTTAGGCAGATTGAAACCTTTTACTTGAAAACCACCCGTGTGCTCAGGATGATCACTGTTCCTCAACACTTCGTGTACTGAGGGCTGATCCCTTTCCTGGTGGGTTCTCTCTTGTGATGCTGAGCAGGGCACTGTAGGGCCTGAGATGTTCTGTGTCCTTGGATGACTCTGGTAGTTGTTCTGATCCACCTCCTTCTTCTCTTCTCTGCTAGAAGTGTCAGTGACATCTCTGGGCAGCTGCGGGGCAAGATACCTTTTCTGTTCACGATGTCAAAAACAGTTGAAATGGGGATGGGGTAGGACCTTTTGCAATTCTCTTGCATGTGAAGATTCTTGCAGTCATTGGTTCATTGTGTGGATTAATTCAGGGGTTAAAGCGAAAGCCTAAGGCACTCATATTGATTGATACATGATTTAAGAATAGATGATCTGATTCACACATAGAACATCAATTTCCATATTATATATCTTATAAATTGCCGAGTATTTTGATAGAAATACATTGTATAGAATTGATCCACAGTATCCATTTCTTGGTCTAAGATTTCATTTACTCTGAAATAAATCCTAAGACCTTTGATGCAATTTTCAAAAGGTCAATTTAGTTGTGAAAATAAGTCCATGATCATATGTCCAAATGTAAAAGTAATGAGGGCATACTTAATGAAAATCAGATGGCAAGGCCAAAAGAAATTGACAAGTATTCCAATCGAGTCGTGTTTTTCTTGCCTCTTAGTTCATTTCATGGGAATCCTTAATTTTATCTGCCCTGGTCAGACTACCATTACTGTATCTACAAACTGGCACCATGAAAGGCTTACTCCAAGCCTGCTGCAGGCCAGGCACTGTGGACACAAAGAAATGAAAGGCAACGTCCTACTCTTCATGGGGTTATCTGCTAAGGAGATGGATGTCCAGAGGAAGATAACGTCATTACTGGATGACTGGAATGGAAGGCATGGCGATGGCCAAAGTCAGTGAAGCCCACTGGAATACTCACCTTTCACCTCTGGCTCTCTGTTCAGTAATGTATGGACACCATCTGTGAGATTTCTACCACCTAGTAGTTTTGCTTTTTGTTTTTAATTTAGGAATGTATGGGAAGGACAAGTCCCTCAGTGGAGAAAAATACAACTAAAATCTTACAATTCGTATGTTCAAATAAACCTTGGTTTGACAATCCACCAGAGAAATTAGCTAATCAACCAAGAGTATTTCCTTTGTACTACTGCCAAAGCACAGTCTACAAAACGAGCAGGGTTTTTAAATCATCAAGAAGTATTTGGTTTCATTTCCAAACCCCATATCTGATTCTGATTACATAATTCTGCCTTCTAAATGCAGACCAAAGGAAAGGATACTGTTAGGAATGAAAAACTGGGCAAAGGGCCTCCACCACAGCCACATGCCATTCAAATAAAGTTAAAGCTGTTTTCAACCTGCAGGATTCCATTTAATTTTAAGTCCATATAATAGTTTGCCTTCCCTGTTAGCCATTAATCTCACCGGGACTTCAAAATTCTAATTACGCAACTAAACATTAAGAAAATTTAATCACACAAGCATGCCATAATTTAACATGACCCTCTCAATCTGAAAAATCATTACCTACCTCATATTTTAGTTTACGTTGAATGGTGCCATTGTGAAGTTTCTCATCATCCTGAAAAGAAAATAAAAAGCCCTCTCTATTAATAGAGGGATTTAATATAATATAGCATGTTCACAGAGGGGGGAAAAACTGATTTGATTAGAAATATTTATGGGAACAAAATTCTAAAGCAACATACTTGTCATTCAACAATGACAACCGTTCTACAGAATTTATATTCCCAAGGTAAATATGACTCTATTGATCCATCTGCCTGTAAGAGAACTGAACCATTTATGTCTAATTTTAAGATTCTAAAAATATTAAATGCAAGATTTCCTTAAGATACTTCTTAATTTGCAGGTAGAAATGAAATGCCTTTATTTTGATAAAAATCAACTTGTTGCAAATATGTACCTTCTCAAAAGCAAAATTATAGTTCTACTTGGGATAATTTATTAAGCAAATTAAATATTTAAGGAAATTGGTTGTATTTTTGGAGAAAACAAAAATATTACATGTAGAATTTTTATAAATCAAAGTAAATAAAGCATTTTAGAAGACTTTGTAGTCACTCAAGACTTTCCCCTACAAGTACAAAATTTTAAAGTCACTCTTGAATTGACATTATTTATAAACTGTTAAGCTCCACCCAAGCAATATTTATTTTCTCTAGACCATTTCATACCTTCATTTTCTCATTGAGAAACAGTAATAAAAGCACCCCCCCAATAACTTACTGAAAGGTCATAGTAAAAATGAATGACTGAATTCAATCAGCTCCTTCACTCACCTTCATCAGATCTGCAGATGTACTGCTGTCACTGCCAATCACACGATGCAAATCCTGAAGACGTCTTTGGACTTCTTCTTCAATGTACGCATTGATCCTGGAAACAATGGAGACGGGGTCCTTGAACACTTCTAACCACACAGGGCATTTTAGATCCTTTTTCACTATGCCCTTCATAACAGGGAACTCCCTCATTCTAAATGACAAACATAACAACAATTCGGGACCTTACACATTTTTCTACTTTCTAAGAAATCCAGTACCATGTGTTCACTATCTGTGTCTTCCCCAAACGAGAGAGAACTCGATGAATCACAGCATCCTAGGAACTGAAGGGAGACTAAGTGATCCCATCCAACATCCTGAGTGTCCTTAACGGAACCCCTGCCGCAGGGTAGGGGAGAATCACAGGCACTGTTTTAAGAAGGCTCCACAGCCTCACCCCAGGGGTCTCGGACTTCGAGACCCAATACTTCACCCTCTGAGCCTTGGTTTCCTCACACAGAAAACATGATAGTTATTTCTCAATCACAAAGTCATTTAAGAAGATTAAAAGAAAAAAAAAAGAAATAGTGGACGCACTCTCTACGAATCTTCACTATTCCGATGGGACAATGTCTTGCATTGTTCTTACTCTGTCTTGTCTCTCCAACTGGGTTACCTGCACCTGACTGGGAGAGACCAGATTTTCAAGGTCTCTACCTTCCAAAATTCCTGGCACAGGGCCAAGACAGTGGAAGCCAGAAATAGTTGACTTTTGAAGCAGTTGTCAACTGAATATCTGGTACCCCATACTACGCAGGTGAAATTGTATGAAACACAACCATCCATCCAGAGGAAACAGGGAGACTAGAGAATTTTAGTTCCATCTAAAATCTTTCTAGTGGCTCAGACTGCCCAAATGGAAGTCTTACTCAGTTCTAGGCTCTCCCTCCCCCAGTTCTAGACACTGATTAGATGGATTAGTTAAAATGATCTGTTTAGCGTATCTACATCTTAGCACACTAAAAAAAAAATCTAGTTTCATCTTTCTAAGTACATGCATAAGCCTATAAACATTTCTGTACTACTGACCATGGCTAAACGATTTTCTGAAATGCTAGGTAAAGAGATTAAAATTTTAGGTAAAATAGCCCAGAAGAATAGAGTTAGGGCAATAAAGTACAGTATTTATCTTTCAGAATTGAAAATAAAATCATGTGGAACTAAACCTGAGCCAAGGTCACTTACAAATGAATTACCTCCCTGGACTTTTACTTAAATTTTAAACTAGCCCCACAGAACATGCAGGCCTAGATTTAAAGGGCTACAGAGGCTCATGCTCTTCGGAGTACATTTTGATATCCAAATACATATCTCCTAATACCCAGGGCTTAGGATTGTCCAATTTGAAATGTCCTCATGACACAGATGGGGTTGAGAAAAATAATCAATTTTCTTATAGGCAAAGAATGATTAATCGATTTATCTGAGAGCTCTAAGCCACAGAGCAATTCACAATGCTACCCAAGTTGAAAATCATTTTCCAATAGTAACATCAGATATATATTTCTGCTATTCATGACCATTCTGAATGTACTAGTACAGTTTTTGTAACAGACTTATTCTATTTGTAATCAATGACTTGTACAAATTAACTGTCAGCACAAGGTCCTTCTTCTTGGTACGAGTCAATGAACTCTGCATCTTTGTTTCTCTCAACCTGGCCTGGCATCACTCATTTCTGGATGAGCTGGTTTCCCTGTACCTTTTAATTCTACCCTCTCACACAAACTACTTGCACCAGCATTCCTTGCATTTGGCTGGCCAGGTCTCAGGTTTTTGGTGCCCTTCAAATGAGACCTTACCCCATCATGGGCAGGCAGCAGTTGATGAAGACAAAGCACATCTCAGGGACATGTACTACTTGTCGCCTTTGACAGATCCCTCCACACGCAAACTGACCAACATGAGGTACAGTAAGTCATTAAATCACATAAGAAATGTAAGCATGAATTTAATTTAACGTCCAGTACCTGGCGTCCATCAGAGGGACAAGGTGAGATTTTTGAGCACTGGATGGCAAGCAGGAAGAAGCAGCTTTCTCCTCCAAGGTCCCACAATGCCCTTTCTGAACACCATCAAACTCACAGATCTTCTGCTTCAACTGCTGGATTTCATGTTCTAACCTATAGAGATGGAGTTACACGAATTCATTCATTAACAGTATTTCCTGAGCATTGTCACTGGGTGGGACATTGTTCTGGAAACCTTGGGGGATCCAGACAAAAAATCTTTGTGCAAAGATCTTTATCTTCTAGTAGAAAAGGTGCCACATACCTATAAGACAAGGTATAAGGTGATAATGGGCCACAAGAGGGGTTCACAACAAGTGCTTAAGGTATCCAAAAGTTGGAGAGAGTTTTACCATTGAGGGCAAAGATATTCCCACTGTGCTCCAAGCCAATCCAAGAAGCAGATGTGCAGGATTCTGAGCCCCTACCCCTGCTTCAACAAAACAGTTGGCTGTTGATTATATATTGGGACCCCACTAAATATTTCTCTTTGACAAAGGAGATCTATGCTTTAATGAGTTTTTATTTTTTATTTATTTATTTTCCCCCAAAACCCCAGTAGACAGTTGTATGTCATAGTTGCACAACCTTCCAATTGCTGTATGTGGGACGCGGCCTCAGCATGGCCGGAGAAGCGGTGCGTCGGTGCGCGCCTGGGATCCGAACCCGGGCCGCCAGCAGCGGAGCGCACGCACTTAACCGCTAAGCCACGGGGCCTGCCCCGGAGTTTTTAAAACCACCAACCTATGAGTACCCTCATGGTCAAGGCAGTTCTAAGTTGAGTCTTCAGAGGCCAGTGAGAATTTGGACATTTGGAGATGATGATAGAAGGTTCTCCAGGTGCAGAAAGCAATATTAACAAAGGGGCTAAGCCACGAAAACTAGGAATCAACTTTGGCTAAGGCAGAGGGTGTGGAAAAGGGACACAAGTGAGAGAGACCTAGGAAAGCAGGCTGAGTAGCCCAAGAAATTAAAATAAACCATAAATTGTGGAACCAAACATTTATTTCTAGTGACAAATGATAAATGATACATCTAATAAGAGATTGTGTATAAGGCTGTTCTCCCACTGGCCCAAGCATTTTTTTTTTTTTTAATAATTTTATTTACTTTTTCCCCCAAAGCCCCAGCAGATAGTTATATGTCATAGCTGCACATCCTTCTAGTTGCTGTATGTGGGACACGGCCTCAGCATGGCCAGAGAAGCGGTGCATCAGACGTGCCCAGGATCCGAACCCGGGCCGCCAGCAGCTGAGCACACACACTTAACTGCGAAGCCACAGGACCGGCCCCCAGGCATTCTTGAATCCAGGTCATTAGGCTAGAGGGCCAAGCTTGCCAGTAAATTTAGCCCAGGGAACACAAGACTCAGCCAGGGGCTGCAACCCACTTGCTGTGTGAACTCGGCAAGTTACTGAAATCTGGGTCTCAATTTCTTTATATATAAAATGAGAGAGTCAACTAGTTTCTCCAAATTCCTTCAGCTCCAAAAATCAGAGATTCTGGCTTCAGAGGTTGACACACCATGATACACCAGCTCTCTGCTGTCATCAGCAGCAACTTGACCGCTCTAACCTGAACGTGAAAGCCAAGATCTTAACTCTCAGGATGTGATTATGAGGTCACCAGGGTCAGCACTCATGCGTTCCACAGAAGGCAATGCCCTGCTTAACTCAGCCCTTCATCTGCCTACTGATTAGCAAGTACTTACTGAGCATCAAGTTGCAGAGCATAGAGCATTTTCAAAGGAGGGAAGAAGCAGGAAAGAGTGATGTTAGGGGCCAGGTGGTAGGCAAAGAACCAGGGAACAATACTAACACAGCGTCTCAGAGATGGGAAGGGAAATGCGCTGGATGGAAGTAGGTAATTGCCAATGTTTATACTTAAGACAGTGTCTACTAGAGCTGTCCAAAGACGTCTTTCAGTGCTGGGGCCGCGGAGAAGACTCCACAGCGCACAGGGGCTTGTGTGGGGCTCCGAAGGCTAAGCAGGATGTACACGGGTGGCAAAGGACAAGCAGGGCATCCTGGGAAAGGGCTGCAGCACATGTGAAGGACTGGCCTGCCCGGGCAGCAGCCTGCGGTCAGTAGACAAGAGGACAAAGAGCTGTGTGGTACACAGGTTTAGATTCGAGCTGCAGCTCTGCCACCTTCTAACTGCCTGACACTTGTTTCCAGTGGTTACGTAACCAGTAGATGGAAAAGACGACAGAAAATGGATTAAATCTTGTTCATAAAGCAAGCCCACAGGGAAAGCCAAGTTCAGTGCACTGTTGTCCAATCTGGTTCCATGTGAATTTAAAATTTCACACCGTTGGAATTTCACAAGTGGTCAAGTCAGGCTGCACAGCAGGAAAACCCAGCGAGATAATAAGACATGAACCCAACACCCACAGAAAGCTGCAGGAGCATTGCAGCCAGAGCACGCAGCTCAGAATCTATTGGCCTGAATTAGGTCTTAGCAAAGTCTACTCCATCAAAACACACAAAGCTAAAAGCCGCCTCTGCGTGGCTTCTGGAGTAATGCTGACGCTGGGAAACCATGTCCATGGAAATCACAGGACTATATCTGCTATAGTAGAGTATTAATACTAAATGGCCAGATAGTGAAACCAGTTGACAAAAGCCAGGGACATCAAGCTACAGGCTCACGCTGCATTCCTGCTGCACACTGCAGGATACAAATTGAGAGCGTGCCTTCTGCTACTTGAAATTTCCTGGGCTGGAGCTTTGTTCAGCAATTTCATTTACATAACATACCTGCAATCACGTTCTTAAACCTGCGACCTATTTCTCTGAAGTAATAGCATTATGGTCTTTGATTTTTATTTGTTGCGGTTTTGCCTGAGGGAATTACCAGAGAGTGATGGTAAATAGAATCCACAGTATAAGCAGATCATTCGAAAGGTTGTCCTGACCTTTTCAGGCAAGATGATGGACAGAGGCTCCAGCAACACCTCACAGTAGGTCTTGCCTTGTCATCAGCACCGACCCCAGCCCTCTGCCAATGTCAAGCTGGGCTCCTAGACGCCAGCAGACCGGGCTTCTGCTGCAGCCCCTCAAGAGGTGCTGTGGGGGAGGAATGCTGGGAGGGGCAGTGTTCCAGGCCTCCTACCTGGGCTTGTTAAGATCTCAATTGACCAAAGGGTCTGGAGCTAAAGAAAACACACAGACCCCCGATCTCACCTGCCCCTTCCTGTAAGGGTGAGAACACTGTGGCCCAGTGATGAAGATCCTTCCCAAGGGCGGTGAGGCAGGAAGGGCCCAGGCCAGGGTATGAAGCCCCCTTGCAGGACTCTAAATTTTGCATCATGTATGCACACCAGGCTGCCATCAGCCTTTCTGGGAGTCTTGGCACCACGTCTGTAGGGCTACCAGAAAAAGTGTTCTCAAATTCATGTATTTATTCATTCTGAGAACCTACTGGGTGGGAGGCATGGAGACACGGAATAGGCAGAAGAAGATAAATATTCTTCCTTTACCATGAAAATAGTGCCAGTTCCTAGTTTTGTTTTTTGCACCAAAAGTAATATCCATAAATCATCACCGAATGTGCTCAAACATACCACTGTGTTCAGAATCATCTGGAGAGTTTTGTTGGTTTGGTTGGTAGTTTGTTTTTTAATACAGAATCCTAGGGCCTCCCCTCAAATATTGTAAATCACAGGGGTGGGAGAAGTACGGCTCTTCCCTTCCCTACCAGTGTGGACATCAGTACACTCTGCGATCTGTGAACACAGGTGATGCTTCACTGGAAACGTGCTGGTCGTGGAGAAGATGTGAAGCCAATGGTGAGAACAGGGAGGGAAGGGGAGAGGGAAGGAGGGAAGGGAGGAGGAAGAAAGCAAAGAAGGAAAGGAGGAGAGAAGGAAAAAGGGAACTAGGGAGAGGGGAGAGGGAGAGAGGGAGGGAGGAAAAGACATGGAAGGAAGAGAAAGAGAAAGGGTGAGAGGGAGCAATGGAGGGCAAGGAAGGAGCGGAGTGGACAGGGGAGGCAAGGAGGAAGCTTTCCCAGGCTTTCAACAAATGTATTTATCAAACATTCAAAGATACACATTCTATGTCAGTAGAGTAATGGACAAGGGCTTTGTTTTTGTTTGTGTGGCTTTTTTCAACATTAGGCCAACGATTCTAAAACAAGGATCCTAAGGAGAAAGAAAAGAAGTTCAGGGGTCCTTTTCTCAGGTTTGGCAAAATAAGCATCTGCCTGTATATTAGAGAATATACAGGCTGAAAGAATTACTTTTTGCAAAGACAGTGGGAGACACACTCTGGGGGGCAGACAGCACAGGCCCACGGGGCGCCGTCTCTTCTGCTGTCTCACCTCTCCTGGTCCCTCTCCAGGGCTGCCTGCTCAGCATCCAGGCTGGCCCGGAGCCCCGCCTGCTCGCTGCTGCTGCTGCTGCTGCTGAGAGTGGCCAGCTTCTGCCTCTGCTCCTCGATCTCCACGCCCAGGGTGGAGCGCCTCTGCAGGGCCGAGTGCCTCCTCTCCAGCCTGGCCACAGCGCGCTCCAGAGCCTCTCTCTGCTGCTTCTCCTGGGATTCGAGGATCTCCTTTTCCTTTCTCCTCACTTTTTCTTCCTGACGCGCGATGTTGGCAGTGAATTCGAAGGTGGCTTGGAGCTTCTGCAGCTGGCTCGCATTGGCTTGGTACTGTGCCAGCTGTTCTTCTTTTTCCTCCATTTCTTTTTCCACTTGGTAGAGAGTGTTGTCTAAGCCAACAGGGCCTCTGTCAAGGATTTCAAACGCTCTCTGCTTTTCTTCTAGCAGAGTCAGCAAATGATTCTGCAGGAGGTGCTGGAGCTGGCGTTCTTTATATTGCAGCCTGTACTGCGCTGGCTTTATTTTCTCTAAATCTTGAGCCCCCTGGGTGACATCTATGACACCACCATCATTTTTTCCCAACAACCTGAATTCTTCTTCTTTTTCAGATTTTAAACGCTCTAGGATGTCCTGTTCTTCTTCGACTTCTTTCTTCAGGAGGTCCTTCTGCTGAAGCAGGTCCTTCTCCAGGTTGGCTAGCTTGACCAGCTGCCTTCTCTTGAACTCTAAGAAGTGCAGCTGAGCCCTCTCCAACTCCTCGCTGTCGTCGTCCCCTGCGGCCCGCGCTTCCTTCACCCGCAGCAGGGACTCGCGGATGCCCTCCAGCTCTCTCCTCTCCTGCTGCACCCGCTGCACGCTGCCTGGCCGCAGCAGCCGGGTCATCGCCTGCTTCTCTCGGAGCTGCTCCTCCAGATGCGCCACTAGCACGGCCTGCTCCTCTTCCTGCTCCTCCAGTCTCTTCTTTTCCAACTCAAGCTTGGCATACTGTTCATCCTTTTCCTTTTTGAGCCGGTCCAGTTCTTGAAATATCTGAATCTTCTCGGCCTTCTCATGGTGGTTGAGCTCCTGGAGCCGCTGGAGTTCTTCTTTGACACGGAGAAAGCTCTCTTCCTCTTGTTTCTTCTTCTGCAGCTCGATTTCCTGTTGCTCCCTCAGCCTCTCCTCTTCAAACTTTTCCTTCTCGGCGAGCAGATCCTTGAGCTTGCTCTCGATGTGGCAGCTGCGGCGTTTCAGGCTCTCCTCCTGCTTGCGGATCTGCAGCTGGACGATCTCCGTCTCCTTGCGCTGCGTCTCCACCTCCTGCTGCATCCGCTCCAGTTCCGCCTTATCGGACTTTTGCTTTTGCTCCATTTCTTCTATGAGTTTCCTGAAACACAAAACACTCACTTATCATTATTTGATCACTGTGTTCCAATGTTGCTCGAACTTTTCTCTAACTGAAATGTTCCGAAAATGAACACACAACATAAAGCCAAACCCTTCACTAAAATAAAAAAGAGGGAGTACTGCTTTCCTTTTTAATTTCCAGCAGCGTGCTGTTTAATTTTTTTACTCTGTAACTGTCCAACATATCATTTGCCTAATCTCCTAAAGTAGCCTCTGATATCATTTCTTTGTAGAGTCTATAAGCATAATGTGTTATGCATGATATGATTTAAGAAGCCCCCTGAGCTCGAAGAGAAAGAACCATGCCCAATTTAAATTTAAATGTGAATAATTTTATTCAGCCCAATGGCTAAAACGCAACAGAAATTCAGTTACAAGATGACATTAAATAAAAATGCTTATGCTGTGCTCAACTCATTGAGGTCAAATACCAAAGTCAAGATAATTGACAATTCATTGTTCCAGCTCAAATAACTACATGCTATTTAGCATTTAATCACTAGTTTAGGACAATGGTGATCACCAAATGGCCGAAAATATTCGCTTATTAATGCATAATATTGAAAATAACTGGAGTCTCCATTAGAATACTTAAATGCATGATTCCAGGGGTTACATGTCACGTTTTGTCTCGGAGAACAAACGATCCCCACTGGGTGCTAAATCAATGTTTCTGGTTTGGGATGACCTCCAAAGCAAGAACACAAGGTATGGAAGAGTATCAATACATGGCCTCCTTCTCCTGGCCCACCAAAGACCTATCATATATGATGTGGGAAATTAAACTAAATCAGCTGTAACATCTAAATTACAGATTCTAGAAAATAATATCCCATTTGTAGATTTTTCTATGGCCTTGGTTTCTACTCCACTATCTACTCTTGATCCATTTCTTGGCTTGTTAACTAGAACAGGAAAAAGAGAAAAGGAGAAAACATAGTTTTATCAAAGAACAATATTTGGAACATATTAAAATTAAACAACCAGACACATACACATACATACACATCCCAAAAGAAAAGTGAGCAAAGACTATGAAGAGGCAAATTACAGAAGGGGAAATACAAATAGGCAAACAACATAAGGAAAGATGTTTAAAAAGGAGTAGGTAAAAGGAAAGAAAATTGTCATTCTTTTGGCTTTTTAAAAACTCAGGGGATATTATTAAGAAAAGATATACTTTTGAGTTAAACACACACACAAGTAAATATTTGGTATATTAAATTTAATGGGTGTATTAAAGTTGCCTACTGACTCTATTCCCCCTTTTTCATAAGTATTTGAAAATGAACTATTTAAAAAATTCAAACATGAAGTAAAACTACCCAGTTAGAGAGAAATGGCTTACAGTCATTAGACATGTAAATAACAGACACAGAGCCAGAGGGAGGGACTGGGACAGACACAGATGAAATCAGCCTAGGACATTAACACAAGAATCCACAGACTACAGCAGTGTTCAACTTGTACCCCACGTGGCTTACCTTTTACTTTCTAATTTTTCAAGTTCTTCACGCTGTTGCCTCTCAAATTCAAGTCTAATAAAATCAAATGAAAATGAGTCACTTTTCTGAAAGAGCTTTTCTTTCTCTCTTATTCTCTATATACAGAGCTACATATTACAAAAAGCATCAGTTCAAGTATTATTTTTAATTACCATGAATTAACAAGTTTAAAATGTATGTTTTGCTCTATGACTATGATTAGAAATTAGACATACTTTTGAGTGCTCGAATTCAGACTGAAAAGAACATATTTTACTTGAAGGAAAACAAACAAAATATGACTGTATTGAAAAAGCAGAGTTAAAGGAGACTTCTAAAGGATAAGCATGTCTACTCCATGCAGCTTAGTCACTGATGAGTATATAAAAATGGAGAAGCTCTACCTTAGACAGATGGGTCCTTTTATAGGGAAAAGACTGCCAGGGAGGTAGAGAGAGAGAGAGCACAGACATAAATTAAGAAAAGAATTAACTGGAAGAAACATCAGGAGAAAAGCAGTAAGGTACTTAAAAGCCAATAGCCATGCATGAATTGCATTGTCTTTTTATAAATATCACATTTCCCAATAATTTCTTGAAGCAAACACTCCAAAGAGTTAGCTCTGCTATGTTCTGCACACTTCCCCTGATAATTACAGCAGTGATGATAACTGCATACCAAGAACAATTGAGAACAATAAAGTCATATTTTCATTGCTTTATAGTTATACTGCAGGTAGGCTCCTCGAGATCCTCCTGTAATTAGTAGCTATATGATATAGGAGTTACGAGGGCCACATAGATCGTGAACAGATTTACCACAGCGGTAGCAAAATAAAGGGAGCTAGGTCATTGGGAATTTTAAAACAACTCGCTAAAATATTGATAACACAAGTTGATTTTTTCCCAAATAACAGATTTAATAGTTGCACGATTTCACTATTCCTATTAAACAGCATGAACTGCAATTCTTAAACGTACACATTTTCCTGTTGTGATAGATGACAGATATAGCTAAAAAGCTGAACTATGCAAAAATGCACCATAAATTGTTTTCCTTGGATAATGTGCAAATCCAGATAGGCAAGAGTTACTTTTACAATGAGACACAGACATTTCAAATAGCTCTGTTTCCAATTTAATTTGGGCTAATATTGAGAGTAAATGTCTGAGAGTTTTTGTGAGCAGAACTGAGTGCTGTGCTGAGTGATTTACACATGGTATCTCATTTTGTCTTCCCAGTGAATCCTTAAAATAGCAAATAGTATCTCCATTTACAGATGAGGAACCCAGAGCTTGGATAGGTGAAAGAACCTCTCCAAAGTCATAAGGGTAAGATGTGCTGGAGCCAGGATTTGAACCCACAACAGCCTGTTTCCAAAATACCTTCTATTAACTTATTTTATGAGCAATGCTCAAATTATGTGATATGCAATAAAAGCATTAAATCCTTCATTGAAACTTGTCAGAGTAATATCTGTCTTCCTGTTAAATGAAAATAACAGGAAACTGAGGCTTAGAGCATGTAAGTAGTAGAGGGAGGACCTGAATCCAAGTTTGGTACTAAAATCTATGCTGCCAACCACTACAACTGTTGCTAATGAGCTGTGTGGTCTCAGGAGGTCAGAAAACGTGAGTTTAATATCTTCATCTCTGGGGCCAGGCCTGTGGCGTAGCGGTTAAGTGCGCATGCTCCACTGCTAGCGGCCCAGGTTCGGATCCCAGGCGTGCAACGATGCACTGCTTGTCAGGCCATGCTGTGGGGGTGTCCCATATAAAGTGGAGGAAGATGGGCAGAGATGTTAGCTCAGGGCCAGTCTTCCTCAGCAAAAACAGGAGGATTGGCATGGATGTTAGCTCAGGGCTGATCTTCCTCACACACACACAAAAAATCTTCATCTCTAAGGTGACACTTTGAGCACCTACTTTTTTTTTTACTGAGCACAGTGTCAGGCACTGTGATAGGTACAGGGGATACAGCAGTCCAAAAAGGAGATGTGGTTCCTGCCCCCCTGGGGCTTCCAGTCTGAAAGTGGCAGTCAAGTGAACACAAGGGGTGTACCCCCGTGTGTCACAAGACAGAACTCAGGAAGGACACAGCGCTATAACATACAGAGTAGGGTATGATCCCAGAATTTGGCAGTACCTAGAATCAAGGCAAGCTTCCCGAGGAAACTTATATCTAAGCTGTGCCATTCTTCTTCATGCATGCTATAGAAACTCCAGAGAAGCTCAATAAAACCAGATCTTGGCTTGTTACGGGGGAAGTGGCAAGATATGAAGCTCAACAGGATGACAGAGGCCAGAAGCAAAGTGCCTTAGAAGTGATATTAAGGACTTTAAACTTGATCTCAAAGACAGTAGCAGAAAAGTGTCTTGGAACAGGGTTGTTGAAGAACACATTAACTGATGTTCTGTAGAGAACAGATGGGAGGGGAGCAATATGGGAAGCCAAGAAATAAATTAGGAAGCCATTGCAGTCACCTAAATAAGAGATGATGGAGGCAGGACCTGAGACAACTGGGATAAAGAAATGATGCTAACTTCTGATATTCAGAAGGTCGAGTTGACAGAACTTGGTAACTGGCTGAATTTTGATGCAGCCTGTGATGAGAAAGGAAGAGTCAAAGATGACCCTCAGGTTTCTGGTCAGGTTTCAAAGGAGGTAGGAAAGCAGAACCTAACTGCCAAGAGGCTGAGCTAGGAGGTCAGCAAGTCGGAATACAAATCCTAGTGGTTGTGAGACCACATAGGAGTTATTTAATCTTGGATGCTTAATTTTCATAGAAATTGAAGGAAATAACAGGCTCCACATCAAAAGCCAGGATCAAACGAGATAATACATGCAAAATACCTGTAGAGCACCTCCACATATTAGGTGCTCCAGTGTTGCCTCTTGTCATCATGACCCACTGAGATAAG